AGGGCAGTGGCTGCCCAAGTGGTGCTCCTCTCTCAGCAGTCAGAGGAGTACAAGGCCAGGCCAAACAGTGCAAGCATTATTTAAGTCTCTGCTAGAGTCATAACCAATTATGGTTCATTGACCAGAACGAGCCAATGGCCAAGCCCAAAGTCAGTGGGCAGGAATCATCCTATGTACCAACGTGAAAGGGAGGCGAGTGAAGATTTACTAGACAATACTCTAACCTGTCACCCTTAGCTAAGAATGTGACTTCCATGAATAGAGGTCAAGCAGTTAGTTCCAAAGTCCTCTAAAAACCAACACTTTATTATTAATCAAGTCACTCCAATAAGCTTCTAAGAGGAGACCATTCCAAAAGGAGCTTTCCTGAGGGACCCAGGGGATATGTGAAACAACAGTCTCCCAGGCAGATCCCAAAGATGGAAATTACCTAGTTGAGACTGACTGGACTACATTTAAAAAAAAAAAAATCAGCTTCACTTTTTGTAACCTGTCCCAAATCAAGCCTTCTAGCCTCAACCCTCCCTAACCACACCCCCCCCCACCCCGCCACACACACAGAGGATGGGATCTGAAGACAAAAGGGGCAGATGTGAGTTGTATGCTCTACGCTCAATTGTTTCTAGAAATGCTAGTCTTGGCCAAGATATAGGACGGTACAGCCAGGAACACAGGCTATTGAGTCTGACAATGTAAGTCTGAGTTTCTACAAATGCCATACATACTGATTCCTCCACCCAACTCCACAACATTCATTTCCCCTTCTTTCTTCCAAATAGAATTCCAGTTTTGCTCAGGGAATATTTATCTTCATGGGACAATGACCTGGCTGCAGCACAAACCTCAGGGATAGGCCCAATCAGCCTGGAGGCAATTCCACTGACTTTGTCAATGATTGGTTTCCAAGCAGGTTAGTGAACTAGCATGAGCCGATGAGACACACAGTGTGCCTGTGAGGAAAAGCCTGCTGGATGGAGGGGAAAGGGGATTCCAGAAAGCGTTTTTTTTACTTCAAGGAATGGTCACCACTTTTTGGTGGTCTGCCATAGCTGGCTGATACAGCCCTAGGAAGAAACTATTCCTCACTTTCCCCTGTTATGTTTGGATGTCACTACTCGTGCCATATTTCTGCTTGAGGGCGAAAGCATCAGGAAGATGGCAGATCAGAAAGATGGAACAGGCATCCCGGGGATGTGGTTGAGCTGCTGAATGAAGCTCCCCTGAAGCTTGCTCCAACTAGAGCCTCACTTTTAAATGAGATAAAACAAATCCTTTGTATTTGTTCATAATTCCTTTTTTTTTTTTTTGAGTTGGAGTCTCACTCTGTCGCCCAGACTGGAGTGCAGTGGCCGCTCCCGGCCACTGCAGCCTCCACCTGCTGGGCTCCAGCGATCCTTCCGCCTCAGCCTTCCAAGTAGCCGGAATTACAGGCGCACGCTACCACGCCCGGCTGATTTTTTTTATTTATTGTAGAGATGAGGTCTCGCTGCCCAGGCGGGTCTCGAACCCGCGGGCTCAGACAATCCACTCACCTCAGCCTCCCAAAGGCGCGGGATTACAGGCTGAGCCACCGAGCCCGACTTTGTTCATAATTCTTGACTTGAAGTTAAAGGCAACAATATCTACCTCAGCCACTTCCTAGCCCCCAAAGGGTAAGTGACTTAATTTTAACTCCATTTCTGCACCGGTACCTATGTTGTAGAATTGTCGTGACAAGTAAACGATAAGGCATATGAAGCACTTTGCAAACCTGCTATGTCTGGCAACTGGCAAGGATACAATAATGCACAAGTATGATTTTTATTACAGGGCTTTTCAGTGCCTTCTAGCTAGAAAATACGGACCTGAGACAATATCTGCAATTTCCTCATGTATAGGTTTGTCGCCCCCTGGCTGTTTCTTCTAAAAATGTGCACAAATTTTCAGTGGGAAGGGCTCATGTCTTTTTTAGGTGCACTAGTAAGTTAAGAGTATTCTATGTTATCACTACCAAGCCTATGAGGGGTAAGAGCCTCCAGACGAAGACAGATGAGGGGTACTTTTATTTAAACATTATATAATTATTACATGTTCTTTTGTACTACTATGAAAAGACAGAGATAAACAATACAGGAAAAGAAAATTCACACCTGACTCTATTACCCAAAGAAATCACTGTGAACACTAATGTGGCTTCTTCCAGACTTTTTGGTGGTGTCTGCTTGGAAAAGGAAAAGAAACGGGAAAAACAGGTATCCTCAGATATACTATTTTTGGAAAGTGAATTGGTGGCAGATGTATGGAGAGGGCGCACTGTGGCACAGCACTGAGTGACAGGAGTTATGGGGACTGGAAAGCCTAAGCCAGTCTTCAGGGGCAGCAGGACTCAGCTCTCGCTTATTGCAGCAATGCAGAAAGGTGGGAATAGCATGGCTGGGTCTACCAGTTATTAGTGCGAAGTGTGTCCTAAATTATGCAGCTTGCAATGCCTGATCTGGACACAGCATTTCCAAGCCAGTGCATTCTTCTGATACTTTTGTCTCCAAATTGTACTATGGGCTGAGTATCTGTGTCCCTCACAAATTCATACATTGGCATTCTCACCCTCAAGAGGATGGTATTGAGGGGTGGGACCTTTGGGAAGTGATAAGGTCATGAGAATAGGGCCCTCATGAATTGGACTAGTCCCTTATAAAAGAGGTGCCAGAGAGCTCCCTCGCTCACTTTCACTATGTGAGGACACAGTGAGGAGACACTATCTATAAACCAGGAAATGTCCCTCAGCAGACATCAAATCTACTGGTGCCTTGATCTTTGACTTTCCAGAACTGTAAGCAGTCAACTTCTGTTGTTGATACACCACTCGTTTATGGTATTTTTGTTACAGCATCACATATGGACTGAACACCAGGTATGCTGATAAAGCTGCTTCAAATCTGCTCCTTGGCCTAGAACAGGAGCAAAAGATTAAAAAAATCGACCAGTCCCTTCTCCCTGCAACCTACTCTCATCTCAGTTCATAAAATGGGGGCGAGGAAAAGGAAAACCAGGAAATAGAGGAGTAGGGCTCTCTATAAAGGACCACAGGCCCCTTGGCCAAATCCATCTCCTGCAGGCACTCTGATAGAAAAGGAAGACAGAACTTAGTGGTGGGACCATAGGAGATAAAGAGGTTTTGTTTAGTTCCCAAATCCTCCATCAGTTACCTCAAATGAACATAAGTAGTCTAAATGACAAAAATATGCTTGCTATGCAAATGCAACTTCAAAACAATACTGCTCATAATGAGATACCACTTCACACCCATTAAGGAGGCTATAATAAAAAAAAGAGATAACAACAAGTGTTGGTGATGATGTGGAGGTTGGAACCCTCATACATTGCTAATGGGAATGTAAAATGGTGACTTTGAAAAATAGTCTGGCAGTTTTTTCAGAAAGCTAAGCATAGAGTTACCCTAAGACCCAGCAATTTCACTCCTGAGTATACACTGTAAGTGAAATGAAACATATATCTTCATGAGAACTTTGTGCATGAGTGTTCATAGCAATATTATCCATAACAGCTAAAAAGTAGAAGCAAACCAAATGTCATATCAACTGATAAATGGATAAACAAAATGTGGCATATGCATATAATGAAATATTCAGCAAAAAATAAATGCAGTACTGATACATGCTACAACATGAATGAGCCTCGAAAATACACTAAGTGGAAGAAACCAGTACAAAAGACCACATATATTCCACTTCTATGAAATGTCCCGAGTAGACAAATCTATAAATACAGAAAGATTAGCAGTTGCCTAGGACTGGCGGTGATGGGGAGTGTTGGGGTGGGTGTTGATGGCTACCAGGACATGGTGTTTCTTTGGGGGGAGGGTAATAAACATGTTCTAAAATTGACTGTGGGATGGTTAGACAACTCTGTGAATATACTAAAATTCATTGAATTGTACACTTTCATCTCAATAAAACTATCACCAAAAACAAAACAAAATACGTATTTGTTTTCCTGGGCCTTAACAACATCTGGACAGAAAATTGGAGGAGTGGCAGTGTGTGGGGGCAGGAGAACAAGGCAGAAAAGCAAATGCCCTTAGCAGCTTACCAATTTCTGGAATTTCACAATTAGATATTCTTTCTTAAACTTGAATTTATCAGAACCCATTTTTTTAGTCAGATTTTGCTAAGGAAGAGGGGGATGGGAAAAGAAAAGATCCAACCAAATATTAATACTAAAGGCAGATAAGAGAAATGCCAGAGGCTGGAGGGCAGAAGAGGTAGGTGGTTCCTTAAAGACTAGATTCCAGTACTTTACAATTTCAGTCTGTTTTGCGGTAGTACCTCTGAGCACTGGGCAAATCAGAGTCCAGGACTGCAAAACCGCTCTTTACATTCCTTCTTGAAAACACGAATCACATCATTTCCATGAGCCACCTCTCCCATCTCAGTATTTGTCGTAGGTACCAGAACCTAGCCAGGTTACAGCTTTCGTTCGATTCCCCTTCCGCCCCCTCTCCCAAATACTTCCTCACCTGCTCTTCAAATCTGATCTCCCACCAGGACTACGGGAAAGTTACTAAAAGCACTAAATGCTCCAGTTTCCCAATCTGGATAAGGCTACTAGTGATGCTCCTATCTACTCCACAGAGGGAAACTATACATGCAAAGGTGACTTCACACTCTCCGAGACAGGATCGTGTGTAATTCCAAAAATTTCAGCCCTGGAAGGGCGCAGCCACGCCCGCAGGTGCACCCCAAACTAGCCGGCCCGCCACTCGGGGTCAGGGCAGTCCCGAGCTTTCCTGAGTTAGGAAGTAACAAGTCGAGCCAGTTTTCTTCTCCGTGGCATCCTCCCCGCCTCGAGGTCTGAACGTCTCAGGTTGAGCCATACCGCCGGCCAGCCCTTCCTTAAAGGCCTCTCCCGCGCCGCAGCGCCACAATCCGAATGGCTTCCCCCGCCCTGAAAAACTACGGCCCCCGGCAAGCCCCGCGCCGGAGGCCCCACGTGACCGCGCCCCACGTTCACGTGACCCAGGAAGATGGCGGCCCTGACGGCGGAGCACTTTTCCGCGCTGCAGAGCCTGCTGAAGGTAAACGGGAAGGGGTAGGCTGGGCAGGCGCCTCTGTACTCCAGGCTTTGGATTGGGCAGGAACGGGCAATAGATGGACTCTGATCTGGTGCCATTAGTTCTCTGAGTGACCCTGGACAAATCGTTGCGCTTTTCTGGACTTTCAAAAAGCAGGAACAAAATTAACACCACCCAGACAAGGCGAGAGAGAGAGAGGAAAAAAAAGAAGTAATGGACGCGAAGGCGCTGTACAGATGCCCTCTGCTGTTCATCTCGGGATGCTTTTCGGAAGTGGGGCACTAGAGTGGTGATTGCTAGTTTCCCTTGTCATCACGAGCCTTTGCTCTGCGCTCTGCAGTTCCTTCTCGCTGCGGCGGCCAGTTCCTCCCCGTGAGATGTGCGTTCTGTCTTCCTGCAGCCCGGGTTTTCTGCGCCCGCTCTAGCCCTTTCTGCGTTCCCTGCTCACTCGCTTTGGCCTGTGTAAGATTATCTCCTGATAATCATTTGAAACTTTGTGGAGTTGAAAGGAACATGTTTCCATGGACTTCGCGGCCATTTGGATAGATTTAGAGTCTATCATACTCCATGATCTGTCACAGAAAAACAGGACAGAGTACCATATGTTCTCACTCATAAGCGGACCTTGAACAATTATCGTAATAGGATTGGCAGTAGTGGGAAACTGCCGGGGTGGGGCGGGGTGGGAGTGGGATTGGCAGTTGAAGGAAACTGCCGGGGGAGGGGGAGCACACCTAGTCAACAAGGGTTCTTGCGTAATGGACATTGTATACCTAACTCCGAACTGTACCCCACATCTTTAAAATAAGAAAGAAAAAAAAGAAAAGAAAAGAAAGGGACATGTTTCATAGGGCTTTGTAAAGTGCAAATGAAATGATGGATTGGAATTATTTAACTTCTCCCTGTAGAAAGGGCAGCTCTGTTCTCCTTCGTATTATCTCGTCACCTAACTGGCATTACGTGTCTATTGCCTGTTGTCTTTCTCATAAGGATGTAGGATCCAAGTGGAACCTTATCTTTCTTCTTTTTTTTTTTTAAATACACACACACCAGGTGAAGAGAGTTAATTACCCTTAGCAGTTAATGACGTAACATCGTCATCAGTCCATGTAATAGTCGTTTCTCCTTTGTTTTAATTTTATTTTTTTGAGTAGGAGTCTCACTCTGTCACCCAGGCTGTAGTGAAGTGGCACACTCACGTCCACCGCAGCCTTGACATGCTGGGTTCTGGTGATCCTTCTGCCTCAGCCTTCCAAGTAACTGGAACTACAGGCCTGCACTACCACACCCGTCTAATTTTTTGATTTATTGTAGAGACGCGATCTCGCCAAGTTGCCCGGGCTGGTCTCGAACCTGTGGGCTCAGGCAATCCTCTCCCCTCGTCCTCCCAAAGTGCAGGGATTACAGGCTTGTACCACCCTGCCCAGATGTTTTACTTATTTTTTTAATGGCCTCCTCAGTGTTCATTTGCATTCTCCACTCCTGAAGGCATCTACTTTGTTGTTCACAAATGTTTGCCCAACACATGGAGCAACACCTGGCATACGGCATGTACTTGATAAATAGCTGCTAAATGACTTAATGACTATAGTAAAGCAGGGCCTGGAGAGCTGGAGCTCTCAGCCCCCAACCCAGTGCCTTTTCACTTTCATTTTGGCTGCTTTTCACCACCCCATGCCTGTTTGTCTTGTAGACTTTTTTGTTTAATAAACTTAAAAAAATAATGTGTAGCATACATGCAGAAAAGTGCATAAATCATAAGTGAACAGTTAATGACTTATTACACCCATGTAACCACCACCAAGGCCAAAAAAATGAAACATTACCAATACCCCAGAAGTCCTGGCGTTGTCCCTTCATTACTTCCCCACTGTTCTTCCAAATGGTAACCACTGTCTTTGCTTCTTATACAGTGCATTTAATGTTGCCCATGTCTGGGCTTCTCATAAATTGAATATACTTTTTTTGCACCTGGCTTCCTTTGCTCACAACTATGTGGCAGTAGTCCATTCATTTTCATTGCTGTTGTCTTATGTACTTTATTTTCTTTTTAAAGAGTACTTTGACTTTTTGTTGTGAGATTATAGATTGATTTTTAATTTGTCATTGTAAGAACTAATGTAGAGAGATCCTATTTACTCTTTACCCAGTTTCTCCCAATGGTAACTATAATTAGTTATACAGTATAATGGTAACTATAGTATAATATCACAATTAAGGTATTGATACAGTTAAAATATAGAACATTTCTTTTTTTTTTGAGTTGGAGTCTCACTCTGTCGCCCAGACTGGAGTGCAGTGGCCGCTCCC